GGGTTGATGTTACCTGCTCAGCCGCCGGAAGACAAAGAGGGTCAGTTCTGGATTACCTTCCTCAAAATGTGTGTTCACGGAGCAAACTAACTTTCTCTAATTGGCTGTTGCAGGTATCCCAACCCCCACAGAGGAAATTCCCTTAGGAAGAATCTCTTCTGAGTTTCTTCTTCCTAAGTCAACCTATCACAGTAGTGTTTCTTAATTTTGTTCCAGCTTTTAGCTTTAACATTCCAGTACGAGGTATAGCAGTAACAGCACGGTATACACAACTCTTTCCAGCACTTTCTTGCCAATACCTCTGCTCTGGCTCTCTTCTTTTTCCTCATTTCATTCTCAAATAACTCCCACCAGGTATGATCATCAATTTCAATTTCTCCTTGTGCTGATAGGGTATTAAGTACCTTAATAGTTTCTTACATTAATTTCTTTTACACTGGACACATAATGTGAATGGGGGATACCCACCATAGGAATGACACCACCACAACTTAGTACAATATGGACTTTTTTTTTTTTTTTTTTTTAATGAACAGGCTATAATCACACCCCTTCTGGTGACTCAAAAGACTGCATTAATTCTTTTAGGGCTTGTCCAAAGAGATTAGGGGATTCTGTAAAGCCCTGAGGCAATACTGTCCAACGAAGTTGTTGTTTTCTGCCCTTATCAGGATCTTTCCATTCAAAGGCAAAGTAATCTCTACTTTTTTCCTCTAATGGGCATGCCCAGAAGGCATCTTTTAGACCTATTACACTATACTAAGTGTAGTCAGGGGACAACTGGTTTAAAAGAGTGTAAGGGTTTGCTACTACAGGAAATTTGGTAACAGTTCACTGATTTATAGCCCTCAAATCCTGTACCAATCTGTAATTCCCGTCTGTCTTTTTGACAGGCAGAATAGGAGTATTATGTGGGGACATACATGGTTCTAAAGCCCTTTGTTGCAAAAGGTTTTCGATGAGAGGCTTAAGGCCCCGTCTCCCTTCTAGAGATATTGGATATTGATGAACTCGGATAGGTAAATCGGGATTAGTGATTTGCACTTTGATAGGTTTAATTTTTAACTTCCCTATTTCTCCAGGGGTGTACCACACCTCAGGACATATTTGCTCCTCGTCCTTTTGGGTTAAAGCAGAAATTTTAAGCTGCTTTTGGGATACTTTAATTTTCAAATCCAATGCTATTATTAAATCCTTCCACAATAAATTATTTTCTGCCTCTGGCAGTAACAGCAGATCTTTTAATTCAATTTTGGTTTGGGTCTCAATTTGCACATTTTTAATAATAGAGACCTGAAATGGTTCACTTCTTGCTCCAACCACGAGTGCTGTTTTTCTACTAGGTTTACACCCTTTTGGTAGGTGTTTAATTATGGATTTTTCGGCTCCTGTATTTACTAAAAATTCCACCTCTTCTCCCTGGGGACCAATCCTTAATTTTATCAAGGGCTCTTTGGATGGTATGGTCCCCAGTACATACAGCCCCTGACACCCCTATTCATCCTCCTGGAACTTTTTTTTTCATCCCGTATCCATTCTTTACAATTTTTCTTTATATGATCTTTCTTGT